TCGTCTTCCCCATCGAGTACGCCGACATCTGGACGATGTACAAGAAGGCCGAGGCGAGCTTCTGGACCGTCGAGGAGGTGGACCTGAGTCGCGACCTCGCCCACTGGAACGGCGAGCTAAATCGAAACGAGCGCCACTTTATCTCCCACGTTCTGGCCTTCTTCGCCGCCAGCGACGGCATCGTCAATGAGAACCTCGCGGAGCGCTTCATCCGCGAGGTGACCGTCACCGAGGCCCGTTGCTTCTACGGCTTCCAGATTGCCATCGAGAACGTCCACTCGGAGATGTACTCCCTGCTGATCAACACCTACATCAGCGACCGCGTCCAGCGCGAGTACCTCTTCAACGCCATCCAGACGATGCCCTGCGTCGCGAAGAAGGCGAAGTGGGCCATGGCCTGGACGGCCGCCGAAAACGGCGCCACCTTTGCCGAGCGCCTCGTCGCCTTCGCCGCCGTGGAGGGCATCTTCTTCAGCGGCTCCTTTGCCAGCATCTTTTGGCTGAAGAAGCGCGGCCTGATGCCGGGCCTGACCTTCAGCAATGAGCTGATCAGCCGCGACGAGGGCCTGCACTGCGACTTTGCCTGTCTCCTCTTTCGCCACCTGATTAAGAAGCCGTACGATGAGCGGGTGGTGCAGATCATCAACGAGGCCGTCCGCATCGAGCAGGAGTTCCTCACTGACGCCCTTCCGGTCGCCCTCATTGGCATGAACAACGAGCTGATGTCCACGTACATTGAGTACTGCGCCGACCGGCTGCTGGTGGAGCTCGGCGTGCCCAAGTACTACAACGTCAAGAATCCCTTTGACTTCATGGAGCAGATCAGCCTGGAGGGAAAGACCAATTTCTTTGAGAAGCGCGTCGGCGAGTACCAGAAGAGCGGCGTCATGTCCGAGGCCACGGAGCAGAAGTTTGTGCTGGATGCGGATTTTTAAAGTCTTCAGACTTCTTTTAGAACTCCACTTTTTATTCTAGGTGGCTCGTTTGTTGACATCTGAGGAGGAGGAGGACTCGCTTCGATTTCTATTTTTATCCACCTCGACCACTGCTGCTGCTGAGCTGCAGCTGCGCTGATTAACCTTTGATTTCCCCTTCTCACTTCTTTTTCCGATCACCGATTCTCGTCATTTTCTTTCCTCCTCTTTGGTATTATTCTTATTCTTACTTTTACTCTTATTCTTATTCTTACGATTCCTTGCCCCCGCCACTCCTTTCGCTTATCATAAAAAACACAATTTCCACTACTTGCCCCAACTGCGCCGAGTCTGTTAATAGAGTGAAGTTCAAAGGAGAGAAAGAGAAAAAAAAGAAAGTCTCTTTCTGTTAATGGTCTTCTCTGGTGCTCCGATTCGTTTCGTTTCGTACTTGGTTCGTTTGGGTTCGTTTTGCACTTCGTTCGTTCACTTTCATTCCCTTTGCTCGTTCGTCTCCAACGACGATGATGATGATAAGTTTGGCCCCTTTTTCTCTTCTCTTCTCTCTTCTCTTCTTTGCTAGACTGCCTATTTCCATTGTGTCTGTCAGTGTTGGTGGTTGTCGACTGTGGTTGCAATCAATTCTCAGACTCTTCTACTCTTTCTATTTCTCCCCAGTTTCTGGGCGCTAATGACTCAGAGACTTTCTTCTCTTAATTGCCTGCCTGCCTGCCTGCCTCGTCTTACAGTTTGCCTTGGTTTGCATCCAACGTCTGTGTTGGTTTGGCAAGACTTTGTTGTGCCTCTTCTTCTTCTTCTTCCTACTGGTTCACTTTACACTGCTCTGAACACAGACAAACTCACGGTTGGGCTCTCATTGAGATCTCTCTTGTTAGCCAAAAGTGAAAAGTTATGAGTGGAGGAGTTGTGTGTGGTTGTTTGGATGATGATGATGATGAAAGTGATCCTGGACAGCTGAGCTGAGCTGAGTGATTCTTGGAGCTGTTCGAGACAATGGAGAAAGATTCTTTTTCTTCTTGTTCTCGAAGAAAGCAAAGAACTACTCAGTGTCCACTGTGCACTGAAGCAGCATCAGCAGCAGCAGCAGCAGCAGTGATTAATTGACTGCCTGTCTGTTTTCTACCACGCTACGATTTCGTACTTTCATCTTTCGCTGACTTATTCTTTGTATTATTTGCTCTTGATGGTCTTTTTGGAGAGAGGAGGGAGAAAAATGCTGCCCATTCTTCTGTTATGCAGTGGCGAAAGAGAAAATACTCTTTCTCTTTCTCGATCACAACCACCACCACTGGCGCAAGCTGTGCTGAGTGAACGAGTGAAAGTAAAAGTCCAGGGATGCACTTTTATTTTAAATTGCTGTTGGGCTTTTTCTCTTCTCTCTCTCTCATTTATCTTTCTAGTCCTCTTTTTCGCCAAAGTTCCTCTCTTCCTCTTCTTCTAGGCTCTGGTAATCGAATGGAAGGAAGAGAGTGGAAAGGCACTGTGTCGTACACTTTTCCTGTCGTACTTTTTTTCCTACAACACTTTTACCGCGAAAGCTGCTGCTGTCTGCCTGCCTGCCTGCCTGCCTGCAGCTCTTCAACTCTTGAGCTGCTCGCAAATTATTAATGAATTTTTATTACCAGTTACGGTTGGGTCCTTTTTATTAAGAAAGGAGGGGGAGAGGAAAGGATTTACTGCCGAGAGAAAGAAAGAAAAAAGTCTGACCAATCTTTCTCGCTTTCTTCGCTTTTTCTTTTGCTTTTCTGAGCGCTCAAGTGCTCAAGATGCTACCGTTCTCACCAGAGAGCTCATCTCACCCTCTCTCTTTCCCTGGTTTTCATCTTCATATCCGGCGCTTTCAGTGTGCGTGCAAAGTTGCCTGCCAGTCCTTGGATCACTT